CATTGACGACCAACGAACACTGCGTTGGGCTACCAGTATGACAGCCGCAAGACAGGAAGATAACATACTGTCCCCGGACACTCCTCTTCATCCTCCAGAAGGCGCTGACGGTGGTGCTTCTGACGACGATGTCGACCCGAATGATATCATTCCGACCGCAGCCGCACCCTCGTCCTCCTCGAAGCCGGGCATTGGAGAGAAGGCTTTGCGTCTCATGGACCCAGATGGCTGGGATGATGCATCCGACGACGACTGGTAATCAGGGCTTTGACTAACCAATGTTTGTATACCCTGCTTCCTGCACATCGCCTGCATAATTCCAATATCCGTGTTCCAACATCCTGTTGAATGTACTATTGCTACACATAGATCAGCATCTTCCATCTCTCACCGAATTACAATCGCGCGTTGTCCACTGTACCCTCCCCGTGCCTGACCCGTATCACGACTTTACCGAACTGATGTCCCTTGTTGAGGAGCTCGAAGCCAGCTTCAGCGCTCTCCAGGCCATCGAGCACGTCCGAGACGACGGGTACGATGCGGTGCTCCGCGATGAAGTGTGTGGCGTCGATTAAGTCCCTGTGCGAGCCCATCGTCGAACCGATGAGCTGCTGATTCTTGAGGACCTCTCTCATGGTGAAAGTCACTGCGGGTGCAGCAGTCCTGAGCAGAGGGCGGTGAGCGGACAGGAGACGCAGCCGCGCCGTCTCGAGAATGTGCGCACATGCCGTATACAACCATGCGTCCGCCAGGTTTCAGGATCTTATTGACCTTGCCCATTAGGTCACCGCCGGCAGAATCGATGACGGCGCTCAGAAGGGGCATGCGACGGCTGTCCCTTTTCAACAACTTCTCCAATTGCACAGGCCAGTCAGCTACACGGTTGAGACAGTGAGTGTACCAAACTGCAAACACCGCAGTGAGTACCTACTTGACTTGTAATTGACACCGCCCTTTGCACCGAGTGCGACTGCGCTACTGATCTTCTCCTGTGAGCTGCTCGAGACGTAGACATTCGCCCCGCGAGCGAAGCAGAGCTGCAGCGCGAGCAAGGCTACACCGCCCCCTATACCGGTGATGAGTATGTTGTCACCTTTGGACGCACGAGCATTCACAATGGAGGCTCTATGCATCGGAAAGGTAGGGACTCAGTACTCAGCACTGGTACTTGCTGTTGCATAACTACTGACCTCCACGCGGTGACGCCGCCAAGGGGCCATGCCGCCGCGTGCTCGTCGTCTAGGTAGTCCGGGGTGGGGATGACCTGGTCGCGTTCAACGGCGACATATTCGGAGAATGTACCAATGGGCACAATGCTTCCGCCGCCTAGAATGGCAAATTTGCTAATTGGTCGGGATTCGCATCACCGTGCTCAAGTCCTGAGCATTCGGAGACGCACTTACGGCGACTCAGGTGCATCGGGATTACTCTCCCAACCGCGCATGGGTACAAGGAAGACGCGTTTGTTGAGGAGTGTGTCGTTCGCGTCTGCTGAGGCAACGACGGTTCCTAATCCCCTGGCTGAGATCAAAGCAGGGCGAAGCATCTCCTGGGCGCACCTGCACCATCTGCGCCGAAGACTGAGCCAAAGCTAATGCCAGGATACATGCCCTTGCGGATCCAGACCTAGACCGACCGGTTCACATACGCACATCAGACAGACGACACCTGCGAGTACGCCTGTACGGACATCTCTGTGGTTGAAGGCTGCTGCCCCAATCTTGACGAGCACCTGGCCTTTCTGCAAAGACGGGACCGCTCTGTGTTCAAGAGCGGCGTCGTGGTATCGAGGCTTGCGGTCCTTGGGGGACTCGCGTACAGTGATCACTTTGGTGGAGGTGGGGAGCTGCGACATGATGTTGCGGATGGAGGAGTTGAGGCGCGGGATAGAGGCGAGCTGGCGCGTGTTGGGGCAGAGCATACACTGTGGGATCAGTCCGAGTCCGTGGTAGCGGAGGCAATCACGAGCTTGGTATCCACACTTGCCCTTACAGGCAACTATGTTGCCTATTCAGGATAGAATGCTCCCCGTTGCACGATCGCCTCCCGCCACCATGTCTACGCAACTTCGCTCAAGAGCTTCGCGTCCGAACTATGCTGCCTTGTCCCAGTATGAAGACGAAGGTGCAGGTCCTTCAAAGCACCCACACCCAGAAGAAGTTAACAGCGATAGCGATTTCGCACCGCAGGAAGCTCAAGACGAGGCCATTGAAGAGGGTGAATCCATGGACGAAGATGCGGAGGCCGAGGAAGATGTTCCAACACAAGAACCGTCGCGCGAAAACTCTATTGCCATCTTCACAAAGCCTGCTGCTCCCAGAACCAAAGACTCAAAGGCAAAACCCAAGAATCCCAATACTAATAACCATCGGCAGCGAGCCTTGCCGCTATTTGATAGGCTAGGTCCAGTAGAAAGGCTCATAGAACGACCATCACCATTTGGGACGCCACGCATAACATCGACTCAGAGTTTGTCCGTCAACCGGACCGTGCTCGAGCGCACAGGCAAGGCTTGGGGATACAACGTCGGTCAGGGTGGGCTTTGGGACCTGCTGGAAGATAGGATGTGGTTCAAAGAGTCCATGGCAAGCAGCGGGGAGGAGCTAGCAGACGAGAAAGCCAGGAGACCGCGGGTGCACGAGGGAGTCAGAGCGAGTGGGTTTGAAGTTATTGAATTGCAGTGCGTTCCTTTTATGCTCAGTGGCACATGCACAATGTCACACTTTCCGAGGGAAGGCCAGCATCTTTGTACCTCCCGACGGACGTTTCCATCACGGAGCAAGGGGCACTCAAGCCCCCGCCTCCTGTTGCCTGCTCATTCGGACCGTATGGCAAACAGACGCGTCTTCAGATGAAAATGTTCGACGCACAGAAAATCGGTATGATTGCCGTGTTGTAGGGATTATCTCGCAGACATACTATATCACACTTTCCAGCGGACTTCATTCCGGGAAGCAAGTCCCACGTATTCAACCCTGGAGCACCTGTATGGGCCCTGGATTGGTGCCCCATACACCCAGACGACCGGGCCCGTACGTATCTCCCTCCTTGATATGCCGCTATTGTTCCATGAGATATATGCAGGTCTTCAGTACAAGCAGCACCTCGCTGTTGCACCTTTCCCGTCGAAGAACCACTCGCCCACCATAGGCGTGCGTGCTCCCCAACCGACGCATGCATGCATGCAAATATGGTCGCTCAGCAGATCCTCCGATGCCATGGAAGTGGACGACAGTACCGAAGTCGATCATTGCGAGGATCCGGGAGACCTGCGCTGTGAGATGGTAGTGTGCATTGAGAGTGGACCTGCTTTCGAGCTGAAGTGGTGCCCCTTGCCGGCTAATGACCTCGCGGAGGTCGGGAGCATTGTTTCGTGGTGCGCTGATAATCGTGGCTTACATTAATCCAGACTGCAGACAACACACAATCCAAGAAGCTAGGTATCCTCGCCGGTACCTTTGAGGACGGCTCGTTGTCGCTATTTGCCATTCCGGATCCTGCTAGCCTGTATCCTGATGGTCACCCGCCTTCACAACCACTATGCGGTACGTGTACAATCCTCTTCATGAATCTTTCTTGCTGAGAACGATGCATAGTCAAGTTCGCTCAACCTCTGCTGAGGCTTGAATTGGAGGAGACGATGTGTTGGGGCATGGATTGGGCAAACAGCGAAGTTATAGCCGTAGGCTGCACCAACGGTTCTCGTTCAGGCTCTCACTTTGCTCACGCTTCCGCTGACCTCCCCTGCAGGGTCGATCGCAGTATACAACATTGCTAATGCCCTCAAAAACCCTGGCGAGACGACGGTGCCCACGCATTATTTTGTCGTACACCAATCTGCCATCCGTGCGCTGGCCTGGATACGTGTGCCAGGCGTGAACGCCCGGGGTGACCGATGTGCGGATAACCCCACTGTCATCGCAAGTGGCGGATATGATGGCCTGGAGTGTATCACCGACATCCGGGACCCTGTAGCCAATGCTATGAACCGGACCAGAGGTATCACAATGCGTTCTGGTCAATTCCGGCCCTCCTGACGTGGTGACATGCGCAGACGTTATCAATACTCTGACATACTCGGCATGGTGCGGTGGACCTGTGACCATCGACCACGAAAACACTATCAAGGCATATGTGCTTTCCCCAGGCATGCTGGGAACGGGGCAAACACTATTCGAAACCGATGGGCCTGTATGGGTGCGTGTGGCGACCGTTGTGGAATCCACTTACCCTGTTGACCTATCGCAGAGCATAGCAGCATCTGATTATCACCCTCAGCTCGCTGTCGGTGCCTCCGACGGCAGCCTGCTGACGACAAATGTGCTCAAGCCGGCACGACGAGGCGGCTTGATTGTACGTACCCCAAATTTCGGTCTTGCCAGGTCGGTCAGCTGAGGGTCGTACTAGCCGTTTCTCATGCATAAAATATATCAACTCGACTATAGCCGGAAAGATGACGAGTGGCGCATGCTAGAGAAGTTCCTCCCGAAGGTATGGGTTCTCTCTTTCCTAGTATCTCCTGGTGCCGATGACCGTCTGTAGGAGATTCCCATCAAGAACAACACGAACAAGGACGCGTCCGACGAGCCCGCCCAGGTTGGCATGCAACGCGTAGCGTAAAATTCCGGTGCTGATGACTGTACGTAGAAGATTCCCAAAAAGAACAAAACGAAGAAGGACGCGTCCAGCGGGATGGGAGCGTGGCCCGCACAGGTTGGCGTGCAACGCGTAGCGTGGAATTGCGGGAACGGTCTGCGCGCAGCATCATTCCTCGCCTCATCCACTGGGTCAGGGCTCTGTCGGGTCGACTGGGTGCTGGGTCGTTGGAGCAGAGACAAGATACCGTATGGTTCGGTGGAGGGTATCCGAGGCGAGGTAGCCGTAGATGCAAAAGAAGAAGTTGATGACTAGCTAGAAGATTACTAGTTCAATACACGATTTTGAAGCACCAGTTGTGTTGCTTCGATTCCCCATAGATGCATAAAGAGCAATCTGTACAAGGACATGTGGTGTAGTTGGTTATCACGTTCGCTTAGCATGTGACTTGCGAAAGGGGCCCGGTTCAATTCCGGGCATGTCCATCTTGATGTTATGTCTCATTTTGTCTTCTTTTCACTGGCTTTCCGTGACTCGTCTCTGGGCCTGAAACCCATCCACTTAAAAAGGTACTATCCAGACGGTCTGCTCTGGAGAACTGTGCCACAGCTCGAGGGAACCGGGCATGTCCGCTGGTTTTTGTTTGGTGTTTTTGTGGTCGATGCTGATAGGACTGTTATGCCACTTACTAGTCCAACTGTTTGCAGTTCGGTATACTCCGTGGGGAGCCAATCTCCCGTTGAATGTACGCGTTTGTAGAATATAAACTCCCTCCGACAAAACAAAACTGGCCGAGCTATGTACAAAAACAATGCCAGGACCGTGGATTGAACACGGGACCTTCAGAATGCCAATGCACAAATACTTCAGTCTGCTGCTCTCCCAACTGAGCTATCCCGGCAATGAGCAGAAAGTAGCCCTAGACCGTTACCCATAGCCACTGCTCGGGACACCTTCGCTCCGTACGACTCGATTTAGTCACCAAGAATCGGAAGAACGTGCAGTACAATGTAGAGGCGATGCGGGCGGCGAAAAGGCGGAGGTAGATCTTCACCGCGCCCGCCGTCAGCGTTTTAGACACACCGAGCCAGCCTACCAAAACGGGGAGCTATGTAGGTTCGGACTCCGCGTCATCCCAGAAGGGCTTATGCAAATACAACTCAACTTACAAGAGAAACGTAGCGGAAGATGGCACACGCTTGCGCTCGCTTTCGCGTCCTGCCATTGCCTCTCGCGCAGCTCTCGCTTGCAGCCGTTCTACAGTGTGGCCAGTCATTTCGCTGGACTATCTTCCCTCTGCCAGTGTCCTCGGATGTCACCCCTCTCCAAACACCATCTCACGAGTACCGGCTCTGTCTGCGCGACCGCGTCATTTGTCTTCGTCAGTCCTCTGAAGCCTTGTTCTATCGCTCCATCTTCCCGGACCCTCTTCTCTCGCCTGGAACGCTGGACGAGCGCGAAACGGAAACCCTGCAATGGATACGAGACTATTTTCAATTGAACGTGGACCTAGTGGATCTCTATGGAAAGTGGGCGAAGAAGGATCCGGTGTTTCAGCGCCATTGCAGCCAAAGATTTAGTGGCATACGGATGTTGAGGCAGGATCCCTGGGAGAACTTAATCTCGTACGTGGTATCACACTGGTGCATTGATAATGAACAAACTAGAACTCCAGGTTCATATGTTCCTCTAACAACAACATTTCACGGATTACCAAGATGGTCAAAGGCCTCTGTCAACATTACTCGCCTACATTAGTGACACTACCGAGGCCTACTATGTCCGAGTCGACATTGGAGGCAGATACTTACCACGCATTTCCACCACCATCTGCTCTGGCTGCTCCAGGGGTCGTGGCCACATTACGTGCCCTTGGCTTTGGATACCGGGCAGACTTCATCCACAAGACGGCGAAGATGTTAGTAGAGGCTCATGGACCTGGAAACTCGGGAGTGGGAGACAAAGAACCTGCTGAAGTGTGGCTCCATACGCTGAGAGACAAGAGCACAATTGAAGCGCGTGAAGAGTTGCTGAAGCTCATGGGCGTCGGTCGGAAGGTTGCCGATTGTATCCTCCTCATGAGTCTAGACAAGGTATGCCGTACCGCTATGTAGCGCTTCGTGCGTGGTGCTCACGCATGCGCAGAAAGAAGTCATACCCGTGGATACCCACGTCTACCAGATTGCCATGAAGCACTACGGCATGAGCGGCTCGTCTAAGGGGAAGACGGCTATGAACCCCAAACTTTACGAAGCGGTCAGCACTAAGCTAACTGATGTTTGGGGCGACTATGCTGGCTGGGCGCATTCGGTGGGTAAATCAGGCAAGCAGGTGTGGTATTTCTGACGCTGTCGTCAGGTCCTGTTTACCTCTGATCTGAAGTCATTCGCAACATACGGTCTGTCAAGTCCTTCTCCGACTGCCCCTATCAAGAAATCATCACGAAGCAAAGCCACGATCACTCCAGGCGTGCCGAATACGAAAGCAAAGCGGAAAGCTGCAGTGTTCGAGGCGTCTGGGCAAACCTTGGACTCCGAAGACGATGAGAAAGCATCTACGCTACCGGTACTGACCGATGGACTCAGTATGGCTGATCGGGTGAAGAGGCGTCGACGCGCAGTTTCTGTTGTTGATGTACTTTAGCAGTCTATCTCAAATTGCACACCCAACACCGTAAGGCGACCTTCGGAGTTTATATCAGCAATCTGATCTCCGAGACCCGCGTATAGATCTCGACGTGCTCGACGCGTTTGTCGCGTACGAGTGTTGCCTCCCCTCTTCAGCTGCACATGTAACCTAACTACTTCTTAATGCCTTAGAGGACACTGTGATACAGGGGCCCTCGCTTCGTTCCTTTCCATCTTTCAGCTCTCCGAACGCCGGGCTTTCGTCCGAAAGATAGCATCGGACTCGCTGCCATGGTGCCCACACACTTACCAACTAGAGGGTGCCTGCAAGGCACTCGACGGCGTTGACGTCCCTCGCCATTACACCCACTGGCTCCGGGAAGACCGGCCTACTTCAAATCTGCATCCTTGTCGTGCAAGCAATCGCCAAGGATCCCACCCTATGCCCCGCGCCTCTGCGGGCACGGCGAGACCCTTGTATGATTGTGGTCTGCCCAACGAAAACATTGGAATATGACATGGTACGCAGTGCTACAACCCTGTCTTCCGAGCTCCTGTACTGAAAACCACTAGCAGCCTAAGTTTCAGGCGGCTGGTCTCACCACGGTTGTCATCAATGCTGACACTACCAAGGCCGCTATGGCACGGCGCGAGAACCCTTGGAACAAGGCCCGCTCTGGGACCACGGTCGTACTGCTATCGCCCGAGGAGTTGGCGAGTCCCGCATTCCGTGCGCTTATGGACGACCGTACCTTCGCTGCGCGCGTCATGGCGCTGAACGTCGATGAAGCCCACCTTCTAAGTAGCTAGTCCGGGTTCCGAGAGTCGTTCAAAGGCATTGGAAAGATACGTGTGCGGCTCCCCATCACCCCCGTCCTGATCGCTCTTACGGCCACTCTGTCCTGGCAAACAGACGAGCGATGTATGCGACTTCTAAAGACTGCGTCACTACTACCTTATTCATCGGTCAAACGCTCGCTATGACATCAAGTGGATCTTTCGCACAATGCAGTCCGGTCCCAAGTCTTACACATTCCCCGAGCTTGACTGGATCCTCTCTGGCAGCCGTCGTGCAATCGTCTTTTGCGAGACGTTGAAGATGTAGGGTTAGTTGGTTGACTCTGAGGATGGCCAGTATGGGCGGGGATCCATGCAGATGGTGTTTCCCAGGGAATCATAAGTGATTATACGACTACTATACAAGAGCGAAGGCGGCTCTCTTCAATATACGATATATCACACAGATCTGAGAGTTGCCACCGGCATGATGGCGAGGCAACATGCCGTCTAGCCGCAGCCACTGGCATCGCCGGCCATCACAGTTTGAACCCCGAAGGTCGCCTTACGGTATCATGGGCGCGTTTTGAAGCAGACCTTTATACGACCGTCCTCCCCTCCATTCTAAAAGGTCGTATTTTGGGTCTGCCTACGGGAGACAAGTACTTTAGTATAAGATGCTCGTTGTATATATATATATATATATATGACGCATTGTCGGATTGCAGACAGCATTGATTTGCGCTAGCTCATTCGTCGTCGTAAGCTTTCTTGGTGGCGCTCCCTGCGCATGCCGTACACGCGTCTCTCCTTCATACCACCACACACTCGCGGTATATACCCGCAGTCCATGTCATCGCAGAAGGCGAAGGAGAAGCAGGTCGCCGAGCCCGTGCACGAGCATGAGGCAGACGACGGCGAGGAGACCGGGTCCGAGGGCCCTGAAGACGAGCCTGCCGGGCCTAGCTTGCCTGAGTCGAGCACGCAGTCCTCAAGCAAGAAGAAAAAGAAGAAGCGGTCCAAGGCTCTGAAGGCCATCAATGCACTCCGGCCGGGAGGAAAGGATGGTATCTCGGATGCGCTGGTAAACACGGTGCTGCAGAAGGTCCGTGAGGAGGGAGGGGAGGAGGCAGCGCAGGCGGATGCTGCGACCGTGCGCCTTGCACTCGAGCAGATGAAGATAATGGATGTCATGGAAGGGAAGTCAGGCATAGGGGGCAAGAATAAGAAGGACATGGGGAATCACAAGGTATGTGGTAGGCTCGGTATTGAAATATACATGACTCACAGCGTTGGGTGGTAGTTCTGGGGCACGCAGCCTGTACCACAACTTGGTAAAGCAAGCCATCCATTTTGATGCGTATGCCTCTGACACATTTAGTAGGCGAAGAACCCCCAACAGCAGACGGCTTTATCGAACCTTCAAAACCCCCAGCGGAAGTGCGTCAAGAACCATACCCCTTGCCTAAGGACTTCGAATGGACGACCATAGACATCAATGATCCCGTACAAGTGAGTCAACCTAACACGGCTCGACATTCGGCTCCCTTATATTGTATAGTTACGAGAAGTGTACGAACTGCTTTCCGGACACTACGTCGAGGACGACGTCGCATCTTTCCGATTCCAATACTCAGCACACTTCCTGAATTGGGCACTACAGCCCCCAGGACACTACAAGGAATGGTTCATTGGTGTACGCGTCGCGTCGAACAAGAAACTTGTAGCATTCATCTCCGGCGTGCCAATGACAGTCCGTGTCCGCACCAAGTGAGTGGCCCGCTGCGGCTCCGCCCTGCAATCATGGGGATAACATTACACGATATAGCACTTTCAAGGCAAGTGAGGTCAACTTCCTCTGCGTGCACAAGAAGTTGCGCTCGAAACGGCTCGCACCTGTCCTGATCAAAGAGATCACCCGACAATGCCACTTGAAGGGTGTTTTCCAAGCGGTGTACACGGGCGGCCTCTTCCTGCCTACTCCGATCGCGACATGCCGGTAAGCCATTCGCGCACTCGATGCGTCCACCCTCACGAACACCTCTCAGGTACTATCACCGCATGCTAAACGTCAAGAAGCTCGTCGAGGTCAACTTCACTTCCGTACCCTCGAGCATGACGCTTGCGCGACTCATCCGGCTCAACAAGCTCCCCGACACGCCCAAGTTGCTTGCACGCGGGCTGCGCGAGATGGAGGACCGGGACGTGCCGCAAGTCACTGTGCTATACGGCAAGTACATGGATCGCTTCGGCACTGCGCATCTCATGGACGAGGACGAGATCCGGCATTCACTGTTGAGTGGGCGTGGCGAGGGCCCGACCACGCCCGATAGCTGGAGGACACCGAGGGAGAAGCAGGTCGTTTGGACATACGTCGTCGAGGTCAGCCCACATCCCTCTAATTTCTTCTTTCTCCAATAACGATGTTTGCGTAGGACCCGGAAACGCATCAGATCACCGACTTCTTCTCGTTCTTCTCGCTGCCTTCAACCGTGAT